CCTTTTGCTATTTAAGTCAGAGTTAGATTCCCACATAACCTACTGGTATTCTCCAAAGTCTAGAAGTTCCAAACTTTCCCCTTAACAGAGACATGAGGCAAAGGCTATCCCTGTCTGTCCCCATTAGCCTAGAAATGGTAGGGTAAAGGGACTGGTCCTTTTACGTGTGGACACTTGAGCAGCTTGAATGTCTCTGTCTTTGTGTGTATCAATGGTGGAGCCACAGGCCTGGGTTCAAATCCTGATTGTTGGGTTATCACCCCCCCCCCAGCTGTGGCGAAGTCTCTTTGAACTTCATTATCTTTGTCTAGAAAATGATCATAATAATACCTACCCCAGAAAACTCTAGGGCAGATTATGCAAGATAGAATTTATAAAGCCCTGAGCACATGGTATTATAGGTCCTCAGAAAATAAACTCCTTTCTTGCTTCTCCCCACGACACCCCAGATGCCAAGCCAGCCCTTGGACATCCCATGGTCACGGCTATCTGCTGAAGTAAGGTGTTAGTTCACTTCAGGGTGGTGTGGCTGGATGAAGCTAGGTGGACTTGCGTCGGAAGAGGGAAAGAAGAAAGAACTCAATTCCAAAGCTGATTCCTAAAAACAAGAGTAGTCATTCCATACTTTAAGAATAAAAACCTCCTTAAGCATGGACAGGAAGGTATTTGTAGTGGTGGTGGGGCTTTAAATTTCCAACAAATTTCTAACGCTTTCTGAGTTTCTCTGCATAGAAAACAGTGTTTTCCCTTAAAACCCAACACTTTAGTGTCTGTCTTTCTATCTAATGGAGCCCTCCTTGCTTTTCCCTGTCTGGTGGACTAAAACCCTCACAGGGTCCAAGCTACCTTCCCAGGAAATCCTTTAGAAGGGCAGGAGGAAAAGCATAGGTGCAAAAGGACACAGGCTTTGGAGACAGGCAGACCTGGGTGCAAAACTTGGATATGCCACTTACTAGCTATGTGACTTTGGACAAGCACATTAACTTCTCTGAGCCTCTGTCTCCTTGTCTATCAAATGGGCCAATGAGAAAATGTGTGAGAAGGCAAACAGGAGTTGGCCAACACCACTCAATGGATGGAGATGTGGAGTAGCCCATCTTGGAGGCCCTGAAATTCCCTCTCGTATAAGGACTTGTGCCTTGGATCCAGATGCTCCCCACATCCGCCTTCTCAGTGTTGCCCACATTCCTGAAAATAGCCTTGGCAAGAACCATTAAACTCACCAGGCACCACCTAGCCTACTCTACAGGTGCCTCATCACATCACAGCACATAAAATTAACTAATTGGTTCCCACAGCACTTTCCCTCCCTTATCCCCTTTGATCCTCCCAGCTGTGAGGTAGATGGATATTAATTTCCTCCCAATTTAATAGAGGAGACAACTGAAGCAGAGTGAGGGTACGTACGTAGTAGGGGCAATGATTTGAGCCTGGTCTTTATGCTGAATCCCTTCTGCTTTCCTTGTGTCACCTGAGTCTCATGCAGTACTTTGGGGTCCAGATCCACCGAGGGGAGGAGGGGAGGGGACATGCTCTATGTGTATGGCTGCAAAGTCCTCAGTCCACTTTTACAGGCACCTTGTGAGCAGACAGGTACACATTAAGAAATGCAGCATCTGGGAATGTTCTAAGACCACAGCAGACCGCTCTCACGCTAATGAGAGTTAGTGGGCAGAGTAGACAGGGAGTCAAATGAAGGGGAGGTCTGGGTCCTGGCCGCAGGCCAGCCAGTGACATCCCAAGTAAGCTTCAGCAAGTTTCTGAGGTCCCCAGGAACCCCACTTCTACAGCATAAATGGGAAAAAGCTAGAAGCTCAATTGCAAAAAGACATCTGTAATCCTCATCATCATTACTTTGGCTTAGAAATCAACAACTCAGAGACCCCCCCTACCACCACTTTAAAAAATTTTAAAGATAAAACAGTATAACTTGATAGTTCTGCCAACTTTTCAAAAACTCAGCACAACGTTGATTTTTTTTCTCTTCTTTCTTTTCTTTGTCTTTTTTTTTTTTTTTTAAATTTTGGCAGAGGAAGATTCAGTTCCTGGAAATGCTTACAAAATGATTCCTGACACTGGGAGGAGATAGTTAAAGGGAATAAAAAAAAAGGAAGAAAAAAAATTATATACATATATAGATAAAGGAAGAAGGTGAAAAGAAAGGGAATAAACAAAGGAAAGAAAAGAAAGAACTAAAAGAGAGAGGGGGGAAAAAGACTTTAAAGGGCCCCAATTCAAGGAACATTACCAAGTTCTCAGCATCTGCAATTCACAAGCCGCTCGCGGGCCGGGGAGGCGCAGGCCCCGCCCCTTTCTCGGGTGTCGGGCGCTCATTGGCCGGGGCGGCAGTCGCCGGCCGGTGACTGCCCGAGGAAAGGTTGCCTGGGACACGCATCCCTGTGTGAACGCATGACGTCCCACCCTGGCGCCAGGCTGTCTGGGGCTGAGTCTTAGATCAACACAGCTGTGGGACCGGGACCCACAGCTGGGCAAAGGAGCGGATTCCTCAACAAAAAATAGGATTGTGAGAAAAGTTCTGAAACAAAAACAGCGCAGACAAAAGCCTTAATGACATCCTTTCATAAAAATAAAAAATGCAAGAGGGGGGAAAAAGCTGGTAAAAGGAGCAGAACTGGGAACAGAAAGTTCAGAGGCATTTGGAATAAGAGGCTGAGGCCCCGCCACCGCTAAACAAGTTGCAGAAGGCCTGAGCTAGCCCGTCCAGTCCTCTGTTGGGAAAAAGAAGCCTCTTGGGTTTAAACTCTATTCAGCGTCCCCAACCGTAACCCGCTTCTTTCAGAATTAGAATCTTAGATTGGAGAGGATCCTTAAAGGTTATTTGGTGCCCCTCCAGGTCCCTTCTGCCCGTTTGTTTGTTTTTTTTTTTTTTAACAGAAAGTGAGGCCCAGGAAGAAAGGAAACTCGTCAGAATTCTGCTTGTTAATCCCACTGCATCCTTCTGTCTTGTGTCACACAGCCCATGGGCATTCCGGACTGGAAGCATCCTGGGAAATAATAGATGTGAAGGTGCTTTGCAAACAAACCGCTACTCCAGCCTGGGGCGTCATGGTAGTTACAGAGCAGGGATCAGGAGTTAGGAGAATCTGGGTGAACCCAGCACCTACCACACGCCTGGCCCCATGCTGGGGCCCCCAGGCACCAAAGAAACTAAGAGATTAGATGGAGAGAGCATGAACAGCGCCTAGCAGAGAAGCATTCAGAAATTATTTACTGAATGAAGGACGCAGATCCAGTTAGTTCCATTTCATAGATGGGAAAATTGAGGCACAGAGCAGTGACTTGTACCCAAAGTTCACACAACCAGTAAAAAGGAAGAATGGGGATTTGAAATAGACCTGCCTGGCCCTGAAAGCCGTGATTTTTCTAGAACCTCCAGGACTTGACCCTTTTATACAAGCCACAGAAGTCTGCAAGATAGAAAAGGAAAGGATGTTCTATTCGGTCATCATTCAGGAGTCCCCACAGCCACCGTTTTCCCTTCCCATGACCAAATGGCTGGCACTTCACTTCTGTAGCATACTTAGACTGACTTGACTGCTCACAGGTTATTTCCCCCCTCTTTCTTATACTAAGGAGGCTGTTCTTGAAAACACTGATGCTCCAGGAAAAAATCTTTCGAAACCTCTTTCTTGAAACACAGAGCCCTGAGGTATGATGGGAAAGAACAAGGCTTCAGGACTGGCTCTTATTACTTATGGTGTGACACTGGGCATGTATTATATCCCCTCTCTGGGCCCTCTGCCATTCCACACTTGCCTGTCTAAATTTCACAAAGCCTTAGACTCCTAGAGTTGGAAAGGACTTAAAATAATCACCACCATCTCCTCATTCTACTCACAAGGCAACTAAAGCCAGGGTACCTGGGCTTATTCAAGATTACATGACAAATTGCTGGCAAAGTTAGCATATTGAACCCATGGCTGCTGATTCCCAGGCCAGTGTTCTTTCTGCTATAACCGTTTTTGAGACTCTCCTTAGCTCTGGGTTTCCACTGTCCTGTTAATCAATGCCACACGTTATTGAACTCTTAATTGTTTCCTGTGTTAATCTTGTCTCCCCAAATTGTGAGATTCTTGAAAGCAGGAGCCACTGTTTTATGTGAAGCGACTCCATAAATATTTACTGATTAAGAAAGCAACCATTGGGATAAATCCCACTTGGTCATTTCCAGGATAGAAAGCAGCATCTTGGAACTGCAGATCCCCAAAAGTCTTAGCAGGTGACAACAAAACAAGCAAAAATACTGAGTGCAAGAGTCCTGTTGCCCTGGGGTCCCTTTCCTGGTGTCCCAGAGCTGGAGCAGGGCTAAGAATAATCAAGTCCAGGTGGCCTGCCCTACCATAGCAGAAAGGGACAGACAATAGAGGGATGAGATTGCATTGTTTTCTGCCCAGAGGTGTGTGGAAGGGGGATGGTGTTAAAAGAGATTTGCTGACCTAGTGGGGAGCCCCTAAAAAAGTTTAGCTAGAAATCATTCTGTCTGTTCCCCCATATTTAAAAACCTGTCCAAAATTATAATTAAACTCATTTCCAGAGCACAACTGGGCATACATTTGATTCCTTATGGAGTTCATGGGGTGGAAGGTCTGCGCTCTTTTTTCCCCCATGCAAACAGCATGGACTCAGGCTGCTTGCTTCTTCCTTTTTTTCTTTTCCCCTGTTGCTCAAATAAGTGTTCTTTGCTCAAACCCCCTTCCCCTCCTCCTTCTGCAATCTCAGCGCCTAGCCCAAATCTGTTTTCTTCATTGTAACCTCAGCTTCACCGCAATTAATTTTTTTTCCCTCTGGTCACAAGATAATTCCTGACGCCAGTGAGTCTGGAGGTCAGACGAACAGCAAATTGGGGAACAAGGCGGCACTAATTCCTTACAAGTTTCCCTTGAAAAATCTTTTGCCTAAAAAAAAAAGAAGAAGAAAGAAAAAAAAGCTTCTTTGCTGTTCAGGGATTTATGACCTCGGAGGAGCTGTGGGTTCGAACCAGTGTTGGGCTAAGGGCTGACTGGCAGGGGGCAGGGGAGCTCAAAGATCTGGGGCGCTGCCAGGAAAAGGCAAATTCTTAAAGTTAATGGTTTGGAGTGATTTTTTAAATCCTTGCTGGCGAAGAGGCCCGCCTCTCCCCAGTATCAGCGCTTCCTCATTCTTTGCCTCCGCGGCTCCGCGGTCTCGGCGTCAGACCAGCCGGGGGAAGGCTGTTTGCAATTTAAGCGGGCTGTGAACGCCCAGGGCGGAGGGGCGGGGCCGGGCCCGGCCGTTTTGCATAAAGGGGCGTGCCCCCCAGGCGGGCTCTATAAGAGCGCGCGGAGGCGAGCGTGCGCGCATTGCAAGCTGCTCTAGGGGCTTTCTGGCCTTTTCGCCCTGTCGCCACCTTTTGCATCACTCCCCAGCATGAAGGCGCTGAGCCCGGTGCGCGGCTGCTACGAGGCGGTGTGCTGCCTGTCGGAACGCAGCCTGGCCATCGCGCGGGGCCGAGGCAAGGGCCCGGCGGCCGAGGAGCCGCTGAGCCTGCTGGACGACATGAACCACTGCTACTCGCGCCTGCGGGAACTGGTACCGGGAGTCCCGAGAGGCACTCAGCTTAGCCAGGTGGAAATCCTGCAGCGCGTCATCGACTACATCCTCGACCTGCAGGTGGTCCTGGCCGAGCCGGCCCCTGGGCCCCCAGACGGCCCGCATCTCCCCATCCAGGTGCGCTTGGGAGCCGGGGCGGGGCTTGAACGCCTGGGGCGGGATGCTTCGGGACCCCAGAGCTCCAGATTGCCTTGCGTAACTCTCCCCTCTTTTTCTCCGTTCTCAGACAGCCGAGCTCGCTCCAGAACTTGTGATCGCCAACGACAAGAGGAGCTTCTGCCACTGACCCGGCCGTCCTGGCACCTCCAGGTGAGTGTCCGCGTTTCCCGGGGAGAGGAAGGTGTAAACGCCAAATTCCAGAGTTGGCAGACCTTTTAAAGAATGCTACCCCCTCGGTTTAGGGAAACTAAGGCCAGAGAGGGACAAGTGACTTGCCCATAGTCACATCAAATGAATGGCAGAATCAGTTTCCATCTAATGTGCATTTAAGCCTTAAACGCACGTCGCCCCTGCCCTCCCCCAGTGGCCAAAGATCCGGAAAAGTAGGCGCGGGTGCGACTAAATAAAATAGTCTTTCTGTTTGGAGTTGTAAAGGGAGCTGTGTCTTCCTCAGCCCCCTCCCAACTAGTGTCAATTCCAAGGGGGAGGGGTGGTGCAAGCTCCGCCTGTGGTCTTTGGCGCCAACTGGGTGGGGGCGCGTGGGGCGCGGAGTTATCAGCTGGAGGTAGAGACCAAGTTTCCTCCCTGGCGCCGGCCAGTCTGCGGACGGCCCCCGCCTCGGCGCGCTCGGCGGAAACTGACTGCTGCCTGGTCTTCTTTCCTCCCCCGCCCAGAACGCAGGTGCTGGCGCCCGTTCCGCCTGGGACCCCAGGACCCTCTCCGGCCGGAAGCCCGAGGGCATGGATGGGCCCCAACCTCGCCCTGCCCACTTGACTTCCCCAAACCCCTGCCTGGAGGCTGGACCTGGTGCCCGGGAGAGGACTGTGAACTTGGGTGGCCTGAAGAGCCAGAGCTAGTTCTGGCCTCCAGCTGGGCAACGTCACCCTGCCCCCACCCCACCCCCAAGTTTTAAGGACTGTCTTTTCAGAGTGTGGAGGTGTTGGGGGGGGAGTGGCTGCTCTCCAAACTCTGCCAAGGTGGCGGTAGAGCTGGTCTTCTGGTCTCCTTGGAGAAAGGCTCTGTTGCCCTGATTTATGAACTCTATAATAGAGTATATAGCTTTTGTACCTTTTTTGCAGGAAGGTGACTTTCTGTAACAATGCGGTGTATATTAAACTTTTTATAAAAGTTAACATTTTGCATAATAAACGGTTTTTAAACAGTTGTGTATGTGATTTGATCATTTTCCTTAAGTGCTAATGTTCTTTCTCCCATTGCTGGATAAAAAATGCCCTGAACGGGCAAGGAGGGAAGGTGGGCTCCTGATGGGAGCTCTTTATGTCTACTGATGGTTGGGTGCAGAGAACATCCTTGCTCTGCTCCCTCATTTTACAGATAAAGGAAGACCAGAGCAAGTTATGCTCAGGCAAATTCAGAAATCAGTTCTCAGATCCCTTGAGACCTAGATGTCACTAATTACTCATAATGCCTTTCTATCAGGGGATGCGGTAAGAGGGGAGCCTCCAGTTGCTCTCACCTGGTGCCCAGGCATGGGTGGTGGTTGATAGACCCATTTCAGAAATGAAAAAACTGATCACTAGGCCTGGTTTCATTTTCTTAGTGCTCTCTGGCCTGGCTTAGTGGGCTTCCAAAGTTGGGAAGAAAGGGGTCTTTGGATAATGGTTGGGAAGTACTGATACTAATCCCTCTAACACTAAGTGGATGTAAACTCTGACCCTGAACTGGGAATTCCAAAACAGGCTCCACAGGCCTTATTCCTTCTGGTATTTATACACCATCTCTATTGGGAATCTACTAGAAGCATCTCTATCCCTATTTCAAAACTGGGCAAAGTGAGGCCAGGGGCAAGGCGTCTGGGGAGGTAGAGATGCAATATGAACCTTAGTTACAGTGACTATGTGGTAGACAGGAGCAGGGGCTGGGACTGGCCATTGCATGAGAGTGGGGCAGAGGGCCATGCCCCAACCCATGCCTTCCCCTTCCTGTCCCCCTTCCCCCTTCCACCTGGTGGCTCCCCAGGTGTGCTTTACCAGGCGCCTGGCCTCACTAGATTCCTGTTTATGATATGATCTCATCTGTGTGTTGGCCCCTGGCATGAGTTACTTCAATATTTCATAACAAACAGGTCACATCATCACCTTTCATGCCTTAACCCTGGTGAGCTTTCTAGGGTGAATAGGGGTATGGGGGAGGGGGACAATCTGTCTCTGCCAACCATCCTGCCAGCCTGACCAGTGGTTCTCAAGTGGTCCTGGTCTCCTGAGCTGATTTGATGGAAGGTATGAACACTCTCTTCAGAAAATACACACACACACACACACACCTTTGCAGAGCAAAAGCAGACCTCCAATCTCCCTGGAAGTTAGTTATCCATCCCCATCTGAGGAACCCTTGCCCCAAACCAAGTGAAAGACCTGGGCTGGGTCTACCTTGGGTTGTTTCTTGGGTATGCTGTGCTGGCTCTGGAGACAGCCACATAAGGGTGCAAATCCTTGCTCTGCCTGCTGTATAACTGCAGGCTTTGCCTCTCTTGAGCCTCAGTTTCTGCATCTGTAAAAGGGAGCTGATCTCCAGTTGAGGAAGCAGTTAAGGTGCCTGGCCCCACATTACACCATTAATTGCAGTAGAGTCGGGTAATAAACTCATGTTCTTTTCCGCCACAGCATGCTGCCTCTCCAGCTTGCTCAGAATCTTCAGGACTGTGGAAGGCTAGAAAGAGCTGCAGCCTTCTGTCACGTGGCCTTGAGCAAACCCACTTTGCTTCTCTGAGCCTCCCTCTTTTCTTGCCCTGCTGCCTCCCTGGACAGAAGATAATGGTGGGAAAGTTCTTTGAAATGCATCACACACCTACGAGGTATTATTAAGCTAATTCCAAGGAGATTGCCTGTTTGGGACTCCCAGGACTGAGCCGTTCAGGTGGCCGGGACAAAAGCTAGACCAGTGCGCCAATCCATTAGTCATTAGAGAGTGAAAGCAATTTGGCCCTAGATTAGAAAACTCTGAGAGAATAGTGTCTTCAGTCATAATCACCTATGGAGTGCCTACCAGGTGCCAGACTCTATTTTATCTTAATGTTTTTTCTAGTCCTCACTGCAGCCCAACAAGGTAGGTATCATTATTCCTGTTTTACAAAGAAATAGACTCAGAGAGGCAGAATAACTGGATCCAAGTCACAGATAAGGAAGTGGCAGCGCAGGGTTTGGGAACCCCCGCTTCCTCTAGCTCCAAAGCCCATGTTCTCGCCTCCCCTTCAGATAGGTTCTTTTCCCTCGTCATTCCCTAAGCCTGGCATATATTTGGTCCCCAGTGGATGCTTGTTGAATAAAAGACCTAAGGCTACCCGAGGTCAAAGGGGGATCATGGTACCTCCCTTCAAGGTGTGAGGTTTGGACAAAAGACAACACGCGTAAAATCTTGGAGGTCCCCTGAATTCCAAGATCCACTGTTAACTGAGTGTCTTACCCTCATTACCGCATGTGATCTGCCATCAGCCAAACAAACACGCTCTGATCAAGCGAAGTAACTTGCCCTTGGCCACACATCTCCTAAGTAACAAAGCAGGGATTCAAATTCGTGCCTGTGACACCAGAAATGAAGCCCTTTCCAGAAAGCCAGTTAAGAGCTCACGAGCTGTGGATGCGCGGTTACAACTGTCTATCCTCCCGGCCTCATCACTCTCACGGCCACCACTCTCCCCCATGCCCCAGGCTACACCCTGAAAACCTCCAGTGGCTCGCTCTTTCCCGCAGAGCTCCTTCCAGGGTTCCCCCTGCCCGCCCCAGACCTCCCAGGAGAGGGCCGCTCCCCACCGGCGGCTCCTCGGCGCCCGGGCAGGGGCGGGCCTCGCCCACGTGGCCCGGAGCCCAGCTGGGCGGGGCCGTCCCGGGCCCGCCCCTCGCCCCGCCCCCGCCGGCGTCCGCGCTCCCCCCGCGGGCCCTGGGGGCCGCTCGCAGGTGTTCGCTGGCGCCCGGATGTCTGAGCTCTGGCTCCGCTCTGGCTCCGGCTCCCTCCGCAGCCTGCGGGCGGGGCTCGCAGCCCATCCGGAGCCTCGCGGCGCCCCCGCCGCTCTGCCAGCAGTACGGCCTCCTGGTTCCCAGCCTCCCGGCCTGGGGGGCCCCCCACCCAGCCGAGTCGCTGACCCCACTGCTCTCCCGCTGCCCCCAGCTGCGCTCGGGCTGCCGCAGCCTCAGCGCGCCCCCACCCCGCTTCCTGCCTCAGCAGCTTTGCCCTGGCCGCGCGGATGGGCCGCCCTGCATCGCACCCCGTTCCTTCCTTCCTTCATTCTTTCAGGCAACTCGCATTCCTCGAACGCCTGCGACGCGCCCCGCACAAGGCCTCTCCAACCTCCGAGTGTGGCCCCCGGCCCACCTGGCTCCTCCGGGAAGCCTCTGCCACCCCCCATCTTCCCCCCTGCCCCATCCCCAGGCCTGCCTCTTGTGTTCTCCGTGAGGTCCCCTTTTCACTCGTGGAGTCTAGCATTTCATTGTTAGCTGGTTATTTCTTCTGTTAAGGGTCTGTCAGTGGCAACATCATGGGGTCCCTTTGTGACTGAGATCAGGGGTCGGTCTGAAAATCAGGATGAGGGGTCAGAGTGTGGCCAGAATTGGGGTTTCGCTAGACTGCGGCAGGGTTTGGGGATAAATGTGGGTAGAAGTTGGCAGTAGTCAGTCGTGGCCCGTGTCGAGTAGGGTGTGCTGGTGAGTAGGGTGTGCTGGTGAGGACGTAGGTAGTGTCAGTGGCCACGGTTAGTGTGAGAGCCAGTCTTTGGGTGGGGTCAGGGTAGTGGGTCACCTTGGGACCCGGATTGGCGGTTGCCTTGGACAAACAAGATTAGGAGGGAGGAGTTCTCTGCAGCCCTTTGAACTCAGACTTAGTCTCTCCTTGGCTGGGGGCTAACCATAACCCTCCCCCTCACCACACAAACTGTGGAGCTGGCCTTCCATCTGCGGACACCGCCTCGCCTCCCCACCTCCATCCTGCGCAGACTTCGTGCCAGATGCTGCAGGCAGAAGCCCTCACTGGGCCAGACCGTTGTCACAGGGAGCCCAGGCTGGCAGTAGCATTGACCAGGGTAGGGGGCCTTAGGCTTCCTGGGGATTCCCACACTGGAGGTACCCATGTTTCATACGCAAGTCCATGCTCTTCCCTGTGCCTTCTGTCATTTGTTCATAAGGCTAAAGCCTGTCAGGGAGAGAAGGACACTTAGAGGTCACAAATATGCCCCAGAGAGGGGCAGCAGCCTGCTTAGGGACACACAGCAAGTTAGTGGTCAGGATAGGCCTAGAACACACGCCTCCTGCCTCCCACCCAGGGCTCTTTTCATGATGTTGTCCCTAGCCTGGCAGGGATTGTTATTCCCACTTTAGAGATGGGACAGCTGAGGCCAGGAGAGGCTGAGGGGCTCCCCCACAGCTCTTACAGAGGGACTGCCAGGGTCCAGGCAGACAACATAACCCCCAGCCTTAGGGAACAGTGATGCCCCAAAGCATTGTCTCCTTGTCCTTGACCACCCAGCCCCTCCCCCTTACCCTCATTAGGAGCAAATGGAACAAGGGTGGCCAGGCGTAGCTGGAAGCCAAGGAGGGAGAGAACACACTGTAAGAAATGCTGGAGAAAAGCTTAGCTAGGTTCTCGTGGAAGCATATGGAATTCATTACCCGTAGTTGAGGTGGTCGCTGGCCAGCTGGCAGTTGGTTGGTTTGGGGCTAAAAGTGTGAGTTGTGCGGCAATGAGGGTACCCAAGGCACAACAGACTCCCCAGAATAACTGGCCTACTCACAGATCCAGGTTCTTTTGAGCCTTGTTTTGTTCCTATGCCATCTCTAGCATCAAAACAAGATATGGCACTGGAGGTTATGCAGGGAAGAGATGAAGGCTTGGGGACCATCAGGATAGGCACCATGTTACACCCCCTCCCTGCCCCTCACCCACCCTTCCTTCTCCCTCAGGGCCAGGGGCCTGGTAGGCCCTACAGTGAGTCCAGAGGTGTGAAGGGTTGATCACCTTGCATGATCTCAGCTTCCACTGAGGGTTCATCCTGGTGTGCCCCGAGGGACCTGCATGTTGGTCCCACGTCCGGTCAACCACACTTTCCACTGCAGATTGACTCCATATACCAGTGCTTCCCAACCTTTTTGGCACCAGGGTCCAGTTTCATGGAAGACAATTTTTCCACGCATTTTTTCCATATACAATTCCACGCAATTTTT